GCCCCAGGTGCCCCCCCCCCCCCCGACGAGCTCAGCCACACCCTCAATGTCAGCAACGTGGCTGCTGGTGACGCAACTTTGGAGGCGGGGTTCCCCCGGCCCCGATTCCCCCGGCTCCGAAGCGGGGGATTCCCCCCCCCGGCCGATTTGGCAACCCTAGTTGTTGTTGTTGTTGTTGTTGTTATTATTATTATTATTATTATTATTATTATTATTGCTATAATATTTCTACCCCAACCTCCCCGCGAACGGGCTCAGTTAGTACTAAGTACTTAGTATTATTAAATACTTCCCTTGTGGGATTATAACTTTCCCTTTTTACTCTTGAGGAGTCTAAGACAATTTCCCTTTTTTACACAAACCAGGGGTCCCTTCTGAGTTGAACCTATTGAATAACTGGATAAGAAATATCCTCCTCTTCCTAGGAGCTAGGGTTGCCAGATCTGGGTTGGAAAATACCTGGAGACTTTGGGGGTGGAGCCAGGAGAGGGCGGGGTGTGGGGAGGGGCCTCAGCATGGTACAATGCCATAGAGTCCACCCTCCAAAGCAGCCATTTTCTCCAGCGCAGCTGATCTTTGTCAGCTGGAGATCAGTTGTAAAAGCGGGAGATCCCCAGGCCCCACCTGGAGGCTGGCAACCCTACTAAGGGAATAAAAGCTAGACTGGCAGTTTCAACCTCCTCTCCAGTCTCTTCTGTCAAACCTAAACCCCAGTTCTGGAGACTGTGAATAAATGGAATCCAGCTAGGGCTGACACTTGGACTTTAAATTCTAATTTCTGAACTTTTCCTCAAATGTGATGGTCCACAGTAAAGGCAAGGAGTGGTGTCCCTTCACTTCCCAAGTGACCTCGATTGTTTCTCTCAGACCAGCACAGACACACTCCTCCTGGCTGGCTATTGCCAAGCCAAAGTCCAAATGACTACTGACTCCTTCTGACAAGACTCACATGACTTTTGAAAGCTCTTCTCAGCTGGTGCTGACCAGTGGGGTGGGGTGGGGATGCAGGCAGGCAGCAGCCTGTCAATCAACCTGTGCTTTACCGTGCGGCATTAACCCCTAATCTCCCAGCTGAGGCACTAAGCATCCTGGTTTTGGAGGTCAGTTCCTCACACCATGGTGCCTATGCACACCACATTGGGAACCCATGACTTTTTTTATCCATCTATGGCAGGGGTGGCCAAACGCGCTTAACATAAGAGCCACACAGAATAGACGTCGAATGTTTGAGACCCGCATGACGTGTACAAATACTGTAGACACGTTTTTATTAGAAAATAGGCACATTTGCTTTTTATGAACATTAAACGAGACTGCCAATAATAAAAACAGAGGGGAGAAAAATAGATATTGATAATGATATTTGTTTGTCTAATTATATTTGTAGGCTTGGGGGGGGGACTTTGAGAATGCATTTAAAGCTAAAGTTGCTTTCTTTCTCTGCCCCCTCCGACCTTAAGCCTACCCAGGGAGGGGAAGGGATGATCGATCAGGGAGTCATGCCAGCCCTTTGCTTCCCCAGGCACACAATCTGTATGAAAGAGCCACAGTTTGGCCACCTCTGATCTATGAAAAAAGGGAAATGATCTTCTTCTGAACAAGGATGTGTACATAAACGGTCTTTCAACAATTCATTTCTCTTGGTGACGTATTGGAAATATACTGTTGATTCACTTCATCATAAAGCTATGTTCTTCAATAGGCTATAATTGCATATCTTCAATTATAGCCCATTGAAGAACATAGCAAGAACATGTTCGTGGTGAGTGTAGAAACTTCTCAAGGACACCATTTTCAACCCTGACCTGGATAGGCAGGCAAGCCGGATCTCATCAGATCTCGGAGACCTCCAAGGAATTCCAGGGTTGCGATGCAGAGGGCAGGCAATGGCAAGCCTCCTCTGAACATCCCCTTGCCTTCAAGCCTGACTTGGTGGCAAAATAAATAAATAAATAAAGTTTTGATTTATTATTCTTTCGAAGCACTGCAGTCTGTGGGAGCTCTCCCCGCCAACATTCCCTCTAAGCTGTGGAGCCTTGTGAGTGAAAATTCCACTTTGTGAGCGACTGGCGTTAAAGTTGTGAGCGAGCGACTGCATCAGTTCGTTTGCTCCGGAGCCATCTCGCTTTAATTGTTTTAATTGTGGCTTTTGCCCCAGTCGTTAGCCGCCCTGAGCCTTAGGGGAGGGCGGGATATAAATCGAACTACAAATAAAAATAAATAAAAATAAATCCTTCCTGAGCGAAGACAAAAATCTGTGAGCTGGAGGCTAAAAAACAAGTGAGCTAACTCACACTAGCTTAGCTTAGAGGGAGCACTGCCCCCCCACACACATGATTCCTTGGCCTGCTGGATGAGTTCAGAGTCCCGTTTTCCCTTTTCCTCACTGCAGATCTCCCTGGCGCTCATACTGACTTCGCTTGGCCTCGCGGTGGGCTCTGGGCTCTGGGTGGCCAAGTTCCGCCAGGAGCACAACTACCTCTCCGTCTTCTACACCAACACCAGCGCAGCCAAGCACGCCTTCTATGCCTTCTGGGGGTTCATCATCCTCCTGAGCTTCGTGCTGCCGATGGCCATGCTTATCACGTATGTTTCAGCAGCCCCTACGCTTGCCATGCAAACCGGATGGTAGATCACTCAGGAGGGCTGGCTGTTGAGGCTTGGCCATGCAGGATCTTCCCAAACAGAACGTCCATTCCCAGCAGTGCCTCAGTTTTCATTGGTGAGCTCTTTCTGGCCACCGTCACATGATTAGGGTTGCCGTTTGCCCAGCCATACTTAGCACCAGTGTTCTCTCGAAGTTCCACAGAGCAAAAATTCTGCCTTGTGAGCAAAAAAAAAGCTTTGTAGCATTAAAGTTGTAAGTCTACATTTGATCGTAGCATTAAAGTTGTGAGTAAGTCTACGTTTGACTATTGCATACATTCGTTTTTTAGAAGATGATTTCCATGACCTTGTAAAAATCTCAGAATGAACTCTTTTAAACTATATTTTAAAAATAATTTAAACATTGTAAGGGATCAGAGAATCAAGTCAAATTTTATTACAGAAAATGTTGTCCTTTATGGGGGTAGATCAGGCCTCCAGAGAATGGGTCTACCCACCCTTTCCACTATATTAGTAGACCTGGCCTCCGGAAAACAGGTCTATCCACCCCCAATCCACTGTATTGGTAGACCTGGCCACAGACCGTCGCTCTGCACTGAGCCCTAGAAAACATACCAGCACTTGGGGGGAGTACTCTTGCAGTCTGCTGTTGTTGTTTTTTAGTGAAATGTGACAAATTTACAGGTCAAGTATAACAGAGGTGGAACAATCACTGTCATAACCCTGCCTAACCCAACAAAAGGAAGTTGCTTAAAAGTTATCAGCCTGCCCAAACTACTTCTTTATTCAAATTTTTATATCTCACTTTTCCTGTGACTCAAGGCAGCATTTAGAGCATACTGAAAAGCATAAATAGGGGTGTGCAAAAATAAATAAATGATTTCCCCCCCTGCTCCATTATAGTCTATGGGGACTATTATAGTCAATGGGCCCCGTAGGCTATAATGGAGAAGTGATCTGGGGGTTTCTGGGACTCTGGGGGAGTTGTTTTTTGTGGTGGATCAAATTTTCAGCATAGCTGCTGGGGCCTCTCCTCAAAAAACGCTCCAAGTTCCAAAAAGATTGGACTGGGGGGTCCAATTCTATAGGCCCCAGAAGGAGGTGATCTGAGGCTTGTGGGCAGGCTGCTGAAATCTGTGAGCAGCCAGCTAAATCTTTGTGTGCCAGCGCCCCCTAGTGCAGCTTACAGGGAACACTGGGGAGCACACCCCCACTCTTGGCCCCAGTCTCCTACTCTCTCAATGATTTGAGGAGTGGCAGAAAGAGTCCAGCACTCTGCCCAGGCATTAGCCCACACCAGTTCTCAGGATATACACATTAAACGTCTGGAAGGAAGAGATGTGCCTGACCTAAAGGAACGGAAGGCTGTGGGAACATGCACTTTCAGAAACAAGACTGGAACAAAGCAGTATTCCCAGCACATGAGTTCCAGGCAAGGCTCTTTTTGTAGCAGGAACTCCTTTGCATATTAGGCGACACACCCCTAATGTAGCCAATCCCCCAAGAGCTTACAGAGCTCTTCTTACAAGGGCTACTGTAAGCTCTTGGAGGACTGGCTACATTAGGGATGTGTCGCTTAATATGCAAAGGAGTTCCTGCTACAAAAAGAGCCCGGGTCATTCAGAACCAGGGCTCTAGTCGGGGGGGAGCTCTCAGGTACGGAGCTCCGGAAGAGAACCTCTAGGGGGCGGGGCGGTCACGTGGTGAAGCCCCGCCCCCTTCTTTACCCCGCCCTCTGCTTCGATCCTCATTCCGTTTGGGAATGAGGATGAAGCAGGAGGGTAAGTAGCCGGGCCTTCTGACACACTTCCGGTGATGTCAGGGGTGTGTGGCCTTCTGTCACTTCCGGTGATGTCAGGGGGCGTGGCATATGCAAATAAGTTATGCTAAAGAGTTATGCTAATGAGCTCCGGCAGCTCTTTTTCTACAACAAGACCCCTGTTCAGAACTCAAAAATCTAGTGAGGCAAGGAGAATTTCTGGAGCATTTCTTTCCCCAGATCAGTGTTCCCTCTAAGCTGAGTTAGTGTGAGCTCAGTTCTTTAGCCTCCGGCTCACACATTTTTGTCTTAGCTCTGGGAGGGCGGCTCCAGAGCAAGCTAATTTATGCAGTAGCCAAATCGCTGGCTCACAACTTTAATGCCAGTAGCTCACAAAGTAGAATTTTTGCTCACAAGGATCCATACCTTAGAGGGAGTATTGCCCCAGATACTGTACTCCTTCTTTAAACCCCCAATCTCCTGGCAACGGAAGGCATTGGCACATCGATTCAAAACTGGCCGTGTTGGCCTTCTGGCCAGGTGGGTACTCAAACCACACTTAAGAGCATAAGAGAAGCCATGTTGGACAAGGCCAATGGCCCATCCAGTCCAATACTCTGTGTTCACACAGCGGCCAAAACTCAGGTGCCCTCAGGAGTTCCATTAGAAAGGCCAGAACTCCAGAAGCCCCCCGAGCACCAAGAATACAGAGCATCACTGCCCGAGACAGAGTTTTCCCTGTATAAAAAGGTAAAGGTTCCCCTGCTCGAAAGCCAGTCGAATCCGACTCTAGGGAACCTTGTGGCCAAAAGCCACTGATGGACCTCTGCTCCGTATGTTCATCCAGTCCCCTCTTAAAGCTGTCTATGCTTGTAGCTGCCACCACTTCCTGCGGCAGTGAATTCCACGTGTTAATGACTCTTTGGGTGAAGAAGTGTTCCTTGCACAATCGACGCTGCTTCTCTTTCCGTAGTTTTGAGTTCATCTACCTGGTCAATAGCTGTTTCATCAACTGGGATTTGGAAATGTATTACGTGCCCAAAGATACGCCCGCCAAGGCAAGGAGCACCAGTCTGAATGACCAGCTGGGACAGATCCAGTATATCTTCTCCGATAAGACGGGCACCTTGACCCAAAACATCATGACGTTCAAGAAATGTTGTATCGACGGGAAGATATATGGTAACGTTAAGTCACAGAGATGGCTGGGATTTAAAAGGGAGGGGGGGCCTACATGGCGCATGATTCTCAGCAGGTGGTGCTGGCGGGCGCCACAAAACCATTGGGTGTGTGTGTCAGAACCCACAGCTAACAATGAAGTACACGCATTCAGGAACGGTTATACTTTTATTGCAAAGCTATAGATGCCGTAACACAGTCACTGTTAAGAATGGCGGCAATCAATAGAACCAAATAGGATATAGGGTTTTCTTATGAACCCCCCCCCCATGGCCTGGGCCAATTAGGTACCCTCCCGCGTGAGGTATAAATTAGGAAAACGTTAGGTGGCTAAAGCTGGGAACCAGGAGTCTCTCATGGTAGAGGGGAGACTTCCAGACAACACAACCTCCTCCTGCACATCTGTAGAGATAAGCGTTTCAGCAAAGGCAGAACAGCAGGGATAGGAATGCAGTAGCCATTAACAAGACACAGAATGAACTCCCCAACCCCCATGGCAGCATAGCTGACAGGGGGTTGTGCAAAGACTTGGCGCAGGCTAGCCTGATCTTGTCAGATCTTGGAAGCTAAGCAGGGTCGGCCCTGGTTTCTGCTTGGATGGGAGACCACCAAGGACGTCCAGGGTCACTACCCAGAGGCAGGCAAGGGCAAACCACCTCCGAACATCTCTTGCCTTGGAAACCCTGTGGGGTCCTCATAAATTAGCTGCGATCTGATGGAACTTTCCAACCCTATGCAGGGGTTATGGATACTGTATCATCCGTCCCTCCCCTCTCCTCTGTCGTAGAATGCAAATTATTGCAAGTAACCAATCCCACTTAACACAGGTTGAAAGAGGAGTTATAGGGAGAGATGGCTTTTAATCTCTCCCCTGCTGTTTCAGCCAGTGTTCCCTCTAAGCTGAGTTGGTGTGAGCCAGCTCACAGTCTTTTAGCCTCCGGCTCACACAGTTTTTTTGTCTCAGCTCGGGATGGACTGCTCCAGAGCAAACTTAATTTATGCAGTAGCCAAATTGCTCGCTCACCGCTTTAATGCCAGGAGCTCACAAAGTAGCATTTTTGCTCACAAGACTCCACGGCTTCGAGGGAGCATTGGTTTCAGCCTGAAAAATCTGCTTTGATTTTGCTTCTCCCTTGAGCAACCCAATTGCACGAGATGGGTAGCCGTGTCAGCCTGTCTGTAGCAGCAGAAAAGAGCGAGAGTCTGGAAGCACCTTAAAAACTAACAAAATTTGCGGCAGGTTATGATGACCTTTCGTGAGTACCTGAAAAACTGAGCGGGTGACTCACGAGAGCTCACGCCCTGCCGCAAATCTCGTTAGTCTTCAAGGCGCTACTGGGTTCTCACTCTTCTCAATTAAACAAGTCTTTGTTTCCATTTATTTCCTATTTCAGAAATTCCTTCCATGAAAGGTATGCCTGTGTCGAAAAGCCTGACTTCATCAGATCTTGGGAGCTAAGCAGGGCTGGCCCTAGTTAGTACCTGGATGGAAGACCATCAAGGAAGTCCAGGATGGCAGGGGACAGACAATGGCAAACTACCTCTGTCAGTCTCTTGCCTTGAAAACCCTATGGCAGGGGTGTCAAACATGCACCCTGGGGGCCGTCCTCTTCCCAGGGGGAGGGAGGGAATCAGACAGAGCTTGCTTCCTGGCACAGCTGCCTCAATCATATACAGGAGACATGTTTTATTTAAAGTTTTTTAAAAAGCTTTCATTGTGTTTGTCTGTGTCATTTATAAAGTTTATATCTCCGCTACCTGGCATTGCATTTTATGACACGCATGGCCCGGCCCAGCAAGGTCTCATTTATGTCAGATCCGGCCCTCATAACCAATGAGTTCGACACCCCTGCCCTACGGGGTTGGTATAAATCACCTGGGACTTGATGGCACTTTATCTATGCATGCATAGAGAAGATTGTTGTTGTTAGCCACATCCCAAGTCATTGCAAGTTGACAATGCCACTCTTTGTAGAGGATAAAGAACAGGGGTCATTTCCTGCAGGAGCTCACGGGAGCGGAGCTCTGGCAGTAAAGAGCCCAGGGGGCGGGCACATGCAACAAGCCCCACCCCCTGCTCCCAGCAGCCCTCAGTCAGAGCAAGAATCAGCCAGGTAAGTTGCAAAGCTCCCCCCTGTCCCCCAGTCCAAAACAGTCCAGTGGCACCTTTAAGACCAAGTTTTATTCAGGTACAAGCTCTCCCTCCTCTGTGAGGGCAGATCTGCACGTTCCCCCCCCCCCAATAGCTAGCAATCCAAAACAGTCCAGTGGTGCTTTCTGACACACTTCCGGTAATGTCATGGATTGTGGCATATGCAAATAAGTTATGCTAATGGGTTATGCTAATGAGTTATGCTAATGAGCCCCTGCACCTCTTTTTCTACGAAATGACCCCTGATAAACAATGTTCCCTCTAAGCTGTGGAGTCTTGTGAGCAAAAATTCTACTTTGTGATCTACTGGCATTAAAGTTGTGAGCGAGTGATTTGGCTACTGCATAAATCAGTTTGCTCTGGAGCCCTCCTTCTTGAGCTAAGACAAAAATGTGTGAGCCAGAGACTAAAAAACTGTGAACTAGCTCACATTAACTCAGCTTAGAGGGAACACTGCTGATAAAGAATATTTCAATTTAAATATTAAATTAGTGGTCATTGTTGTTAATTCCCAATATTTGTATTAGACAAGTACACGTCTGGATTATGCCCTTAATACATTTCCCTCTTTTCAAAAATATTTGCAGGTTCAAACAGGAGTAGCAACACCAACCTGATGGTATGTGCAACATTCCTGCCTCAAATGGGACGGGTGGTTTAAGGAGAAGGGCTGGCAGGAGGAGAGGAAACAGGGGCTCTGCGGGGCCTGTACGAAGCTGACAGAAGGGGAGGGAGGTTTACAGACACTGGGAGGAAGTCAACCTCTGGGCAATTCACTGAGGCGTTTCCAGCTTCGGCTCTGGAATGCAATAAGCAGCCAATATGAATGGTGTCACAATTCCACAGGCTGGGGGGTTGCCAGGATGTGGCTACTGGTGGGAGCTGAAGGGGGGCAGGTACATGGGAGGTGCTGGCATTGTATGGACCATGACATCACTTCCGGGGAAACCCGAAAGTGACATCACATCCTTTTAGGAATTGCCGGAAGCTGTGGTAAAACCAAATGGTAAAACCATAGAGTTTGCAGTGATTCCTAGAGCAAAGTGACTTCTGGTTTCCCCCGGAAGTGATGTCACACCATACGTCACACCAATTTTTTAAAAAAATTCTTCTGCCACTGCTCTGCCTGGTGGCAGGCAACAAGGGGTGCTGGGAGGATGCTTGCTGCCATAGTGGGAGCCCTGGCAATCTATCCACAGGGTGGTTGTGTATACTAGAACCAAAGATAACCTGAACAGCTGCCAAACCTTCTTCAGAGTAGGATCTGTTTTGGCTGCCAATTTGTGAATAGGGTTGCCATCTTGAACTTGGGAAATTTGTGAAGATTTGAGGATGGTGTCCAGGGAGGGTGAAGTCTGGGGATAGAAAGCTCAGCAGGGGTATGATGTTACATCCTGTGATGTCACATCCTGGTGAAGACTCAGTTTCTTTCCTTCCCTTTCCTTCCTGTGAAGTCACTTCCTAACACGAAAATCCAAATTTTAAATTTAAATTTCCCGACTCATAACGTTTCCGCTTGTCTTTTTCTGCAGCAGTCCTAACGTTCTTTCAATTCCCCAACCAGCCTCTGCCTTTAGTATTTTTACAGGCAAAATTCCCTCTAAGCTGAGTTAGTGTGAGCCAGCTCACAGTTTTTTAGCCTCCGGCTCACACTTCCCAAATGCCTGGGCACAGTAGGGAATTCCCCACCCCCAACACCAATCTCCTGTCCTCTAACTGATGCAGTAGCCAGATTGCTCACTCACAACATTAATGCCAGGAGCTCACAAAGTAGAATTTTTGCTCACAAGACTCCACAGCTTAGAGGGATCATTGGAAACCATCTGTTTGTCCTAGTTTCTATGCTATACCATAAGAGTCATGGAAGTCCTAGAGTATCTAGACAGCAAGCACACTTCCCAAATGCCTGGGCACAGTAGGGAATTCCCCACCCCCAACACCAATCTCCTGTCCTGGATAAATTGAGAAGCGAGAGGAAAAAAAAGTCTCCATAATGATGCTCTAGGAATTTCTCCGAGTCTCTATGGTCTTTACCATAGAGATTACAAGAAAATCATAGACTGTCACCTGGAAGTGACATCACATCTTCCCCAGTCTCCTCCGTCTCCAGACACCGCCCCTCAGATCTCCCAGAATTTGCCTAAATGGTGTTTAGAACCTTAGGAGGGAGCGGAGATGTGGGTGGAGCCAGAGGAGGATTTTGTCAGGAAGGCGCTTGTTGAGCTTTTGAAGGTCAGAAGGTGGAACTGGGTGGATCCGGATATATCGGGGTGGAGTGTGGCAGATCTGGAGGTGTGAAAGGAAAAAAAATGGACTCCCCCAGATCAAAAGAACTGCTTTATGTAATACGATTTTTAATTATTTATTAAAACATTGCTACCCGGCCTACCCTCCCAGAAAGGCTCAATACCCCTAACACCTAGGGTTGCCAGCCTCCAGGTGGGGCCTGGAGATATCCCACTTTACAACTGATCTCCAGCTGACAGAGATCAGTTCCCCTGGAGAAAATGGCTGCTTTGAAGGGCGGACTCTATGGCATTGTACCATGCCCAGGCCCCTCCCCTTCCCAAACCCCACCCTCTCGTGGATCCACCCCCAAAGTATCCAGGTATTTTCCAACCAAGACCTGGCAACCCTACTCATCCCTGACAGTTAGCAGTGCCGGGCCCGATCCATCCTTTATCCTTCTTTGGCTTTTCTTTCAGGAAGACCTCTTAAGTTGGAACAAATATTGGGACATGAAGCTGGAATTTTATGACCCCTTGCTGATGAGTACCATCCAGCAGGACGACAACCCCGTCCTCAGAGAATTCCTGCGGTTGCTGGCTCTCTGCCACACCGTCATGGTGGAGGAGAAAGAAAGTGAGAGGAGAGACATGGAATGCCTTTTCCCCCCCTGTTGGCCTTTTCGTTGCTGTTCGCAAGTATTTACATTCCTTTTAAATGTACTGGCAGCTGCCTCTAATGGAGAGGGCCAGATCTAGGATAGGGGTCCCCAACCTTTTTGAGCCTGTGGGCACATTTGGGCATTCTGACATGGCATGGTGGACGCAGCAACAAAATGGCCGCCACAAAATGGCAGCCATAGGAGGCGAACCCAGCCACAAAATGGCTGCCACAGCTTAACTTCAGTCACACAGTGCAGATCCTTGTGCTGTGGTGGCAGCTGCTGCCAATGCGATGTTTTTAAAAATCGGCACAGCCAATCAAATCTGACTCCTAGAGCAAAAGCTCTACCTGGCCCTGCCCACTTCATAGAAAAACTTGGTGAGCCCCAGAAAAGGTGCTGGCAGGCACCCTGGATCTCATGTTGGGGGACCCCTGATCTGGGATAATGATTTCCAAATTCTCATATCTGCTGTTTCGACTCCCAGAGCTTGGTTTTAGTTTCGCTTCTCCCTTTGGGCCAGTCAAACCCACAGGTTTCCAACTCGTGTTCTACTTCTTGGTGCAAATTTTTTTTCTCGTAAAACGTACGCATGAATTGGTGCACTGGTAAATCCCCATCCAAACACACATCATGTCTAGAAATGGCGTGCGTTGTGCATGTAAACACTGTATACATCACGCACAGTACCAAACAAAACCCACAAACTAGCGGCCAAAAAGTGGAGAAATAAAATTGTGGAGAAACTCCATCTTGTGTGGGGATTTAACTTTCCATGGGTTGGAAAGGAGACCGTCAAACTTTAGGTGGGCCTGGGCCTAATTTCCTCCTGTCTCCAACCAGTAATCTGAGGGCAACTCCCTAGGAAGGACAGGAAATCCATCAAGGTTATGTGGAGATCTGTCCCAGAATGCTGTAGGAACTGGGTAGGAACTGCTGTATATATTGTTGCCAATACGCTAAAGGTGCTCAGGTTCTTTGACTTATGTGGCTAGCCAATAAACCACACAGTGAAAACAATCTTCCAGGCAGTAAAGGGTAATAAAAAGTATTTATTCGAATAAAGGAACTCCCCTACAGCTTAATTCAGCCTGGGAAGTTCAACTAGCAGATGCAAGGAGCAGACTTGTATACTCTTTTCTGCTCCTTCTTGTTTTACGTCAGCACTGACATCACTTAGGCATGCTCAGTTCAGTTCTCTTTGTCTTGTCAGTCATCAATCACATGTTTGGCACACAAAATGGTAATTGGTAGAGTTTCCTACTCCTACAGCACAGGTGAAGCTCATTAATTCTGATTTACAACTTTGTTTTTCTCCTTAGCATTACTCCCAGTCTTCTGCTACCTCTCACTGAACCTTTCCAGGCTGGGTTCATTCTCAGTACAACTTTGTCAGTTCAGTTTATAACATTTGATTTTATACAGACATTTATACTTGCATTTAAAGCATTTCATAAGCTTATTCTTACTAATAGGTATATAAAATATAATAGCATATCATTACAAGACATTCTAAAGCATTAAACTCCTTACATGAATTCTTTTAGTGTTTCAAAACACTTTATAGCATAGGGTTGCCAAGTGAATCTTCGTCGGGAGCGGGGGGGCTCCCGGCTGGTGTCGGGTGTGTGCGCGCGCGCCGCATGCACATCTCCCAGAAGTGATGGGAGGACGCCAGGCACGCTGGGGGCGGGGCAACGGCCATACAAGGGAAAACCATAGGGTTTTCCCTTGTATGGCCGTGGCCCCGCCCCCCGGGGCCCGATTCCGCGGCGGAAATCGGGCCTCAGAAGCGGGGGTTTACCCGCCCCCGCCCCCACTTGGCAGCCCTATTATAGCATTAAACTCTCATAGACATCTTCAATTCACTTTTTAGATCTCATTTTGGTCCTCTAGAATATTTTCTACAATTATTTTAAAGACTATTAGCACATTTATAAAGCTGCTTGTATTATTATCCAAGCTTATAGTTTAGAAAACCCATAACTTGGTTCGGCCTGTAGGAGATACTATTTCACAATTCATATAATTGACCCTTCTAGTCAGTGCCAGAAGGGATGACTTCATGCGCACCTATGTTCTTCTTAATTGTCAGGCTGTATCCTATTTGTCTTTGTGTTATAATACTCCTTAAAAACTTAAAAGCATAATATATAATTAATTACTTCCGTTTTTGGCCGAACTTAGTCAAAAGACATACTCCCTTTGTTCAAAGACTTGATTAATTATCTTGTTTTTCTCAAACTGTTCAGCTATTGGTCATTTGCACACCTGCTTAATAATGATCTCTTTCTAATGCAAACAGTTTGGTTGCCTTAAATATAACACACAAAATATAGAATTGTTTAGCTTTAGCTGTTTGCAGACATCTTATACTTTATAACCTAAAATCTTAAGAACCCAAACCATTGTATCACTTCTATTAGGCTTAGACACTTTCCTTTGAAATAAAGGAGAGAGCAATTGGCAATGATTCAAACTCTCCCAATTAGCCACTGCGAGGAAATAAAGCTTTAAAAATAATACGATAGAGTGATTACTTAAAGCATCTGATAATTCAATATATAAAATAAAACAATGCACATATATAGAGAGGAATATTGCTTAAAGTTCAATATGTTAGAATACCTTTCATTTAAACATAAGAAATTGCTTTTACATAGAAGGAAAGAGCTGCTTCAAACTTTCTTGGCTTAGGTCATCCTGAATGACTGGCAACACCTGCATTTCAAAGGGCTCATAGCTATAAATTTAAAACTCCTCTCAGTTGAAAAGGTCACTCCTTTTTTCCTCGTTAAAGCAAGTGTTGAAAATATGTCAATTAAAAATGATTGATATCACTTAGTTTTATAACACAGTCTCGCATTTTAAAGCAGGATGTTAAATTCTCCAGGGGAAGCCCAAAGAATCATTCCTAAAGGACTTTTAACACAGCAATAAAAAAAAAAAATCATTTGAGAGCTTGGCTCCTCCTACATATATTATTGAGTTTTTGGGCAGGAAGCCAGTCAGTTGGTTGGCTGGAGTTTGCAAGAGACACAGGCATGTACAGCCCTGTTCCCAGGCCAGAGATGATGGCTATTTTGGGGAATATGTACCTGCCCTTCATACCACCTAGATAGGGTGTGAGTTTAGAGGAGGGAAGGAGAGGAAGCATTTTTGCCAACGTTACTTTATTTCTCCCGTTCACTTCTGATGTGCCTGTATATAGGCCCTGTCCACACGAGGGGTTTTGGGCCGGGAGTGGGCCGGATCGGGGCCGGAGCAAACGGGCGTGATCCCACTGCAACATCTGGGCAGCGTTGCGCACCCGTCCCCGATCCAGCCCTTCCCCCGATAAAACACATCAAAAATGAACCACCTACCGAGGTGGTTCATCCACGACGGCTGCATCAACGCCAGCCGTGGGATCGCCGGCCCATCTTTCTGCCGGTGTATCCCCGGCTCCTGCCTGAACTGCGCATGCTCAGACATGCGCAGTTCGGCAGTCTCCCGTTCCCCTCCTCGCTTCCCCCAGCATCTGATTGTGCCGGGGAGGGAATGCACCGCGGCTCAGGGGATCAATGTGATCCCACCGCGGCGTTTTTTTTTGGTGCGGCTTTCAGAAGCCGCGCTTCAGCCCGTCCCTTTCCGCCTCATGTGGCAGGGGCCATAGTTGTGAGTTTTAAATAAATCCTTTGATTGTTGAAGGTCTGAAGTCCCTCTGTACCACATATGCCATTCATCTTAAGGTTACTCTGCTGTAGCGAGCACTTTATTGTTAAGATTGTTTTTTAAGGGATTTTAATATTTTTATTGTTTTATTTGTATCGGCCTATTGGCCGTCTCCTGTAAGCCACCCAGAGCCTGTTCACAGGGTGGGCGGGGTATAAATGTAAATATAAATAAATAAATAAATAGTCCCACCCAGCTGCTTGGAAATGCTAGGAGTAGGTCAGAAATCCTTAGGGAGGAGAAAAGTGGTAAAACAGCCAGTTGTGAACTCTCCAGGGGAGCCCCAAAGATCCCTGGGAAGCCCTGAGGCAGAATCCTAGGGGTGCCAGAGGGAGGTTAGTAGGCTTTTCTGCCTAACCTAACCAGGGACAGTGGTGGCAGCAGTACCCCGAGGCAGTGGAGTGAAACGGCCCTCTCAAGTGCCAGGTCAGGCAAAGGAGGGGTAGGCAGAGCGGTGCATCGGCAAAAGGTGAAAAAGAAACCATCAGCAAAAAGTGAAATCAATATTAAAAAGACACAAAATGTGGAACGCTTGGTTCTTCCTTGTGTGGTGGTACGGGGAGGTAAAGGAAGCTAGAGTAGAGTAGGAAGCTGTGGTGCGAGTGTAGGGGATCACCACATCTGGGACATGGTTTCTGCGGTGGGGAGGACAGACAGAAAGGAGCTGCCATGGAGGGGCCCATGGAGCCCCCAGTGCTCAAGGGTCCCTATTCATCCACAACCCCCCCTCAGCTGACACCGCCAAGCATGGCTCACCTGTTGCTGAGAAAAACCATCACATTCTTGGCCTTTGGATGACCTGGAGTTTGCTCCCGGTCTGCTCCAGGTATATCCCCCACTTGTGCAGGAACTGAAATGCTCTCTGTCCTCATGACTCCCAAAGATTCTCCTGTGTTGTGTTGGGCTACGGCCCCTTATAGGCAGCTACCTTCTACTGAATCAGTTAGCCCAGCCGTTCGACTCTGACTGCTAGTGGTTCTCAGGCAGAGAACAGTCTTTCCCGACACAGGGGCTAGATTTTGGATTTAGTGCTTCTCGCCCACTGCCCCAGACAGGGGGGAGCAAGCAGGTGGGAGGGGGCTCAGTGGGAGAGCCTCTGCTTGGCGCACAGAAGGTCCCAGGTTCAATCCCCAGCATCTCCAGTTTAAAAGATGAAGCAGTAGGTGATGTGAAAGACCTGTACCAGAGGCCCTAGAGAGCAGCTGCCAGTCCGAGAAGGCAATACTGACTGTAATGGACCAAGGGTCTGGTTCAGGATAAG